AAAAGTAGCACCTTGTAACTTTTTATCTATAGCTCAGACTTTGGTACATGGTACACGGTGAAGTTCCACGTAGCCGTGATAAATGGTATGCACAAGCCGTTACAATGAAAGCTTTCTTTGTAGGCTGACTGGTCAGTTGATGTGACTAAGCACGGCAATTGTGGACGGCGCGGTATCACTATAATTCCTCAGGAACCTTAGTTCATTCCGTATGCTCCCAGTTACTAGCCCTCATAACCAGCCGTAGGGTCCAAGAAAGAGCCAGTCTTTACAAAAACCCCGTGGAGTGGCTCTACCACCGAAAGATTGCATACTTGACATTCAGATGACTGTAGTGGAGCCCTAGTGGCAGAAATTAAGTGGAAATCGAGAAAGATCTCGTAAAATGTCCCGACTTGTGCTCCAGGATACACTGTCTTAAAATACGAGGAAACTCATGTGAACAGAGGTATTATGGTCCGGTCGGTAAGTGAAGCTTCCGTGAAAATAACTGGTCGTAAAGCTGCTTACTCTAAAGCTTTGTCTTTGCCCCTCAGCCAGGTATATTATGGAAGTATTTTTGGCGTCCAAAGTCTGCTTATAGCCAGCGGAAACAATATTCATTGAAAAGAAAACTATCATAACATCATTCCAGGACCCAAACATCCCCGTAGGCTTATCAGTTTGGGTAAGCTGTATCCCTGGACTGTGTCCGTGTAGCTGTACATTATATCGCGTATATCTATCATCAACTCAACTTCCCGGGATTCGAAAGGCTACTGTTTTTGGCTCGGCCAATAAAATATGTCACAGGAGCCTGGTAACTAACTAATTCTCCTACATTCAAAAAATTACATCCGGAGCCTAATTAAGTGGACTTTCATCTATGAAACGGCCAGGGCCCACTCCCTCTTGTTCACTGTCTCATCGAGAATGGAAATGAAACGTTGCCGTCCGAACGAACAGGCTGAAACTGAAGTATCCTCTTACATCACTGAAACCTAAGACAGGATTGCTTGTCCAATTATTGTGGTGAAGCAAGAGGTTTTTCGAATGTAGAGCATGGTGACGAAGTGCAATGGGGATATTAGTCAATACTGAAGGTAGATCGAACGCTATTTTATCTTTTTAGAAACTAGTTAAGACCCTTCGGCATCGGGATGGAACCATAAAAGCGGACTTTTCGCACATTTTTACCAAGTTACTTGGTAGGGTCACTCACTTCGTTCTCATATTTGTGGATAGTTTCAAGCGCCGCAGAAGCAGATAATGATGGAATTACGCTGTTCCTACGAGATAACCGAAACCCCAAAGTCATCCAGTTTAAATGATGGTTTTTTGAAATTAAAACTGTCGGATGTGTAGTCACACGAATAGTCAGCTACAATTCATGTGAATACCAATACGAATTTAAAGTCCTATCTTAACCGTCGCCAAAGTGTCAGGTGAACAGCTTTTAGACTTCGTGATAACTGTGAAAAGGATGCCACAGTCCCACTGACACTTCAGAAGAATAAGTGGGAAAAGATGTCCACCAATTTACTAGCTAATCGACTGAAAGTTAGGCATCCCGATTAGATAGTGTTCTTACGACCAGTTTCATTGGTGCATACAGCCTAACTGTGCATACATCTTTTGCACAAAGGAATTATGCACTCATTTCCTTCAGCATTTCTACATCTAATCCACCAGTCCGCGATCAACCACAAGTCAGGAATTACAAAAAAGCTGACAAGGAAAAGTTCAGGCAAAAACTATAAGGTTTTGTTTGCCCAAATTTCAGAGATAAGCTTGATCTGCGCGCCAAATGTAGGCCGTTATAGGACAAAACACCTCAGGTGAGTAGTCCGAACACTATTACTATCTTTCCAAGGACAAAATATTTACTTTTACTGCCTTAAGGAAAGCGCTCGCTGGCTCATGTGGCAGAAATGGTCACATTAGAATCGACCCAAGGTTTCTAGTGGTTCAAACGACTGAACGAATCACAAAAACCTCGGCAGCGAATGCACAGCAACGAACATAAGGATAAAGTGAAATACCGGACACTTCTCCGTAAAACATCAAGGGGACTCATAGGGCGTTGTACCCACTGATGAGAAAAAACAGTGAAGCGTCACTTAGTGCACAGAAACCTCATAGCTCGGCGATTCAGCACGCTAAATCTGGGGTGGCTGACTCACCAGCTTAGGGATTCCAATACGACTCCCATCAAACGAAGAGAACAGCCACATAACAGGTAGGTACTTGAATCGAAGAGGCACAGAGTTATATGCAATTGAAGTCTCTTGGAATCAAGAGAATTTTGATGGACCTAAATTCCAAGAGAACTTTCAAGCTCGGTAGCATTTACCCGATTACACCCAAAAGGTGTGCCAATATTCTGAGCAGCCCTCTCCGGATAGTCGCCTCTCGAAGGCAGACTACCGTCTGATTGAAAATGGGTGGCTGTCATCTACGCACATAAATGTGGAAATAAACCAATCTGCTCCGCCTCCTCATTTTGGGCTGCTATGAAAAGCGAATTCGGCGGCTGGTTTCTTAATTTTATGCGTACGAGTTCAAAGCGTAGTTGACTATCAATGCGAAATTATCCCTGGAAGGTCAGGTAGCGCAAACTTGCTGATTCCAGGGCATAGCTGAACTCTACCCGTTGAGCAGATAAGGCGCACTCAGAGTGGATTGCTTGGCTTTCCCTAAACCGTCGAGAGGGTTGATTGTGAAATCCCGTATGAGAGACTTCAACCCATGAGCATACACAGGAAGTTACTCAGTTTTCTTCGAGATTAAATTGCCTCTTTGGTTCCCGATGCTGAGACGGGTGACTTAGATCTCCATTCTTGGTACCTTACTGAGTCTCACTTTTGCAGATGACTTACAAGGAGGCCTAAATACTTACTGGTCGTTCTGTAGTGAGAGTCTGAAGGCTTTGAGGGAAGCACACGAGGAATCAGATACGCCGGACCTCTCTAAAATCGTAAAGTGGACAGGCGGGAACCTGTCTCCTCTTAATGGGGTGAAGCGTAGGATAACTGTTGTAGACAGCATTGTACTGATTACTTGCCCATCCCCATTTAGAAAAAGCCCTCCAGTTAAATCTCCATAGTAGGAGAAGAACACTGCCTTCATGGTATCAGTTCAGAGAAGAACCACAAAAAGTGATTAACTGTGGTATAAACCTAATATAGATTGCCTAGTCGCCCTCAGGTTGTGTTCAGTGCAATACAGGAGGATAAGAAGGGATATCCCCGTGATGTTTCATACCGTCCACAAGCCCCCTCATTCTGACTGAATGCTCTTACGGCTTATTCAGGAGCCCAGACTTAGAAGTCATCCTTTCATGCCAGAATATGACGAGGGACACACGGTGGTCCGCACCAACTCAACTGCAGTCAGAGTGAGCAGACTGTTGACTTCAGTTCCCGAAGTTGCTAAACCCTCACCAATGATGCTTTCAAAAAAGGGTCAGACGTACACTGAGAGTCCTGTGGTACAGTTAGGCTGCACTCAAGATGCCACCCATCGTCTTATGGACATTATCTATGGTGGGCTGATTACACGGTTAACTGAATATTTCAGTCCTTTCGAGGAAACCGGCTGAACTTTCCGAGCATGGGACGTAGTCCACTAAGACAAGTGTCAAACCTAGAGAACCGTTGATGGTTATCTCCAAAACACGAAGTTCAGAGTTTTTGCCTCCTTACACTTTCTGTGTAGGCAGCATGGTGTTCTCACCCTAGAACTGCTCCCCAGAGTTTTGTAATCCTGCGAACTGCTGCACCTATGGGTTCTAAATACTGTAGCATCCATAAAACAAAAAAGACACTCCAAATGCTTGAGGATATTCAATTGATCTGCAATAAAATAGGTTGTTGGGCTAAGGGGAAGAGGATACTCTGAAAGGCTGAAACACTTAGGTCTTCACCTTGATGTATCTCTGAAGGACGGCGACCCCACTATGGCCTACAAGATCATCCATGAGGCAAGCGAAGCAAATCAAGTAGTCTTACCTGCAACGCTGCTTTCATCATGTGGAAACCATATCAGGATAGCACACCAGAGAGCGGACAACAGGCTCAGGCCTCACTTTTAATCCCCAAAAGTATATGCTTTGTGAAATACCTTGTCGTGGTTTGCAGTCACAGCCCTCCCTGTAGGCTTATTCAAAAGACGGTTAGACAGTCACATCAATTAGTATAGACGTATACAATGAATTATTGATCTCACTAGTTTGCCACTGATCACCTGTTTACCGCCCAATCTCTCTTGTTGATACACCTACTTTATCCAATAAAACTTCTCTAGCAGTGAAACTCATACCATCTGCTTTTGACTTTCTGGTAATTCCTATATATCTTTTCCCATATGTTGCCATTCCCATTCAGGCGCATATACAGATAAAGGCCTCGAACGACACTTACTCTTGCCGACAACCCGTAGCTTCTTGGGCAACTCAACCTAAAAAATGCAGTTGCTAACCCACAAATCATTCACCCGCCCGAAACAAAAGCAGCAAACCAAGAGAGACTTCCCTATACAATGCAGGAGCGAACTGGATAACAAAAACAAGGCCTATCGGTTTCATGTGCTCGAACCATGGATGTTGAATGTTGTTAGATGAGAAGTGACCCCATAATCGCATACAGTACTGTACTGACTTGACGGTTAATTTGTCCTATTTATCAACCCACTATGAATGATTATAGAAGGTTTTTAGAAGACTTTTAAGCCGTGTCCATCTAGAAAACATTCCCTCACACGAATTCGAGGACCAGTGAAACAGTCTACTACGACTCACTGTAAATACACTTTATGTTGGTTCCTTCGCTGTGATACTGTTTCTCCACAGTACTACAAACTGTAGGATTTTGTAAAAAGCTCATTCTTTTCACTCATAAGAGCCCAACTGCGTAGAACATTTGCGAAATAGACGCTTTCAGTGCCCAATAATGGTATTGTTACTTTGAACTAATTCCGATAGTGGCGGCAATTCGCGTGGCTTTTTCCCTTGTTTTTCTCAGATGGCTGATTTTAATAACCCTTTGAGAAAGTTTAAGCTAGTATTTTTAGGCGAACAAAGTGGTGAGTTTTCAGTCAGTCAACAAAATTCATTTTGTTCAAGTTGGGAAAACATCTCTCATAACTCGATTTATGTACGAGACTTTTGATAATCTTTATCAGGTAGGGATTTCTAACTCACCAGAGTGTTATTTTCAAGGCGACTATCGGCATCGACTTTCTGTCAAAAACTATGTACCTTGAAGACCGAACTGTGAGTTCTCGAAATTCAGTGACTGACAACTCAGATACGTTTGCAACTTTGGGACACTGCTGGTCAGGAACGGTTTCGAAGCCTGATACCAAGCTATATACGTGACTCATCAGTTGCCGTTGTTGTGTATGATATATGCAGTATGTGCTTTCGAAATTTAATAATTAACAGACACTGAGTCCTTTCAGTTAACGTCGAAATGGATCGATGATGTCAGAAACGAACGTGGTAGTGACGTTATTATAATGTTGGTTGGAAATAAAACAGACCTCTCAGATAAAAGGTAATTTGCCACCTTCAGAATTTTACGTTGTAGAAAAGTGACTACAGAGGAAGGTGAGCGGTTGGCTAATCAGCTGAATGTTATGTTTATTGAGACAAGCGCAAAAGCTGGATATAACGTCAAAGTTGTAAGTATTCACTCATAACCACAGCAGTTGTTTTATATAGTGTATCGTCCAGTTAAAATTACTTTTATGTGTGACTAAGGATTTTGTATTACCTGGTTACTATTTACGACGACTACACTACGCAATAGTGAAGAGCAAATAAATTGTATTACGACAAGTGTAGTCAGATTTATATTGGAGGCTTCAAATTTCTCTATGTGAAGGACCTGCTTATTTAAAAGCTTTTTCAATGTAACGTATCCCGTACACTTCATTCCCGCACACCCCCTTGTTTTGAAGTCCCTTTTCAAAACTTGTACTTTAAATGTCTGGTACCTAGTAAAAATAGTTTAAGTGGGGTGATTCAGAGGTTTTTTGTAGTTCTGAAAAGTACTAGTGTCAAGTTTAATTGAATCCCAACCGTAGCTGTTTCCTAAGTGTGGAGGTTGGACTTCCTTATTGTAATGATCTATTCGGACTTTGCTGACAAACTTTGTTTCCTTGTCCTGCTATCAATCACGGAGGGTCTGCTGAAGAACAATGAAACCATCTAAATGACCTTAGCATTTCACAATCAGCGTATAAATTAGTGACATCCGACTGCGAAGTTGGTGTTTTTTCCTAAGAGATCGTGCGGCTGACCTCAAACTTTATCACTTATAGTCTACAGCCACGCATCCAGATCGATAAAACCATCAATATTAATCTACTCTGATCATGGTGATTCACAGTTACAGTATGTTCCTGTTTTAATATAAAATTTGCTAAACTGGATAGGTCGTTAAATTTGTAACTCATTCATTTGAGATTCTGATTAACATAAGGTATCAACCTGAATGGGTTAACTTCTAGAAAAATCTGAACTCAAATATGCAATTCCTGGTTGACGTTTTTCCACCCATGTCAGCAATATTTCGACTATGAATATAAAAAAACGAGTATCCTGCCCTACACTGACTTTTTCGTGCCGCTATGATACTTGGCCTTTTAAAGTAGATAAAAAGTGTTTATAGGTTTTCCGCCACAAGCGACTTCATAACACTACCCCTGTATGATGGTATCACATTAGACAGTCGTTAAATTATGTAAGCGCAGTGTTGTTTGAGGTCATGTATATTTCCACTAACTTTCGTCAATTCATTGTTCCGACTTTCATACACTTTTGTTCACCCTAAGATCACTCTGCATTCTGCTATAAAGTGTAGCAACTTAAACCAATGCACTTCGGGGCCGACTACATTGATTTGCCTCGTTCTATGGGTAAACCTTGAGCATCGTGGCAAAGTATGGTGGTTCCATGTTACATTCAATAATTTTTTGATGTGATAGTATCATGAACTGGAATATATATATATATATATATATATATATATATATATATATATATATATATCAGCAGTAGAATAGCAAAATCACTGTTGTTGTATTTGTGCCTAGAACGTCTTTCTGGGAATAACGTATCATTCCATTATACTAAATGTACAGATTAATACATAATCAGCACACTATTGTTTTATTGTTTCCTACACTTCAAAACAACATAGATAGAACGCCAAGAAGGAATAGTATCGAGTCCAGTAAAGACATAACACATACATAGAATTATACAGATTTGGTGATTTTGCGTTATGGCGATCAATTTAAAACATCACTGCACTTGACCCATCAATTTCTGGAGTCTTCCCTAGCCAGAGCTCAGAGCATATATTATTCTGATAGCACAGTGTAGGTCGTATATCATGTGCAGACTTAACACATTCCATTTTCATCCATGTCGTTGCACGTTTTGAGCTTCAAATGACGTAATCCCCCCCCCCCGCCCTTAATACCTCACTTCATCCATAAAATACTCCATGAATACCCGTAATGCAGCCAAACAGCTCAGTTTCGAGGTAACCTTCATTATCCTAGTGAGAAAATCGGCACATGCTGTGGACTTCGCCCTTCGTACAGATTTCACGGAAACCGCAAATGATTTTAAGTAATAGGAATCAATTGTGTTTCTGTATTGATATTCCGTTGTCTAGCGAGTCAGGGTTTCGGTGTAAGTGAAATGGTCAACCATTTCATTTTTCACCACAAGCTGTTGTGAGTGCCGATTCGCTCTGTATCACCACCCTGCACTTGACAGACCCTAAGTGTGTCATTTATTATAATTTCCTCCTAAAACGTTCGGTAAACTGCGTTAAGTCAATTGATTTAACTTGAAGAAACATAGTCTGTGAGCCTTAACTACCTTCAGGCAAAACAACAACCCCGAAAAGACCGGTTAGGTAGTCTCAGTCAGTCAGAAAATGCGTAACTGCGTATATTAAAGTGACGTAACGAAATGGTTATCAATATCCACTTAGTTGATAGGTATTGGTACATGTTCACGAGGGACTAAGTCGGATATTGGCCTTAGGCCAAAGGACGTAACAAATGTTGAGTTTCTGTTGGTACTTCTGTATCCCAAAGGTTGTTGGAACTTAGACTTAGCATCAGCACTATCTATCAGAAATGAAAAGCTCTTGAATATTTAAGGGTTTCGTTCTTGAACTTCTGTTGAATTTACAATATACAGTAACCGTGAGGTCTCAGAAGCATTATAAGAGAATTTTCGTGTGCATGAAGTAAGAAAAAATTGTGACTAATGTACCAATGGATATTGCGTTATTTCTTCGTCTTCGTGCCCGATCGTGCTTTGACGAATACTAGATTATGCTTAAATAGATTTTACATTTTTCCTTGTTACCAAACGCTGATGAGCAGTCCAAAAGAAAGTGTAAGAGTCAATTTGTTTGGTGCATCTCAAAATATAGCATAAACATTTGGTTTTGGCAGTTACTATCATGTTGTTTCTCTTTTGACATTATTTTCAGCTCTTTCGACGGATCGCAACAGAATTACTGAATCGAGAGAATCCAGCCCCTCGGCATGATGACTGTATCCTTTCTGGTATTATGCGTACTCTAAGATTCGTCACACATTTTGAGGTTTTGAGTTAGATAAAGAAACTTCATAGTAGTTTCAGACAACCATTAGAGTTTCTGGTGCGGGTTCCTTTACTCATAGGCCTACGGACTTATTCTCACTTTTTTTACTCACAAATACAATTTCTTGGCTACACATTTTTTGGGCGATTTCGTATTGTTTGTTTGCCCAAATTAAACTCGATAGTCGTAGCTATCAACCAAGGGTTGTGAATTAAAATTCCTTCTGATAGGCGATCAGCAAGGTTTATATCTTTGATACAGATGTGTTTCATATCCAAACATATTCAACTGTACACTTTTAAAGTTGCCGTACTTGATGGCATCAGTTGTCCTAATAGATGTGATTTGCACCTTGTTATGTAAACATGTACATGATCATTCAGTAAGAATAGTAAGTATGAAGTTGATAGTCAGAACTATTGATTTATTGACAATCACACTTTTCCTGCGCATTGGCAGAAAAACGATCTTTAGCTGACAAGTTACATACTATAACATCCCTCCATATATTATCGTCAGCTCATAAATTAGTATTTGTTTGCAAATTGATTTATATTTGTAAATGTGATGTAGTTGTAATCATAACTAGCCTTGTACCAAAATGATCATTTATTTCGTATAAATGTATGGTAGCAGTTAACTAGTGGTGATTAAGTCTGTAGTTGAAGGACATTTCTCAATTACTTAAGCAATCTTCAAAGCATCTTGCTGTTAGAACAAGTTTTTGAGTCGTATTGTGTGAGCTGTTGGGCGTCATTGGACTAAACAGCTAAACGGCTAAACAGTTTAAGACTGTTATTGATTGTAGCACATCAACAAACTTGGTTTAAATACAATTTATAAGACTACTCAAACTGTGTTTAATACTATAAATTTATTCACTTTTGCACGTCTTTGTGTTTGACAGTACCATTTTCAACTGCTCATCTTTAGGAATCATATATTACGTGCTAAGGAGGCCCTTATAATCGTTTTCCACTGAATTTTGAACAGTACCATAATTCGCATTGGCATACATTGGACTTCTTTAGCACATATCTAGATGATTATTTCCACTCACATCTAGTTGAATAGCATACTCCCTAAATAATCTGTAACGGTATCTCGTAATAATATTAAGTTCATACCTTTGTTTTAGACATTATGGTGTGCACTTGCTCCGCATACTGCTGACTTGAAATAAAAACGAGTCTCTGGACAGCTATGAACAACTTATACTTTGATACGGAATAAAGTTTATTTAAGCGAAATAAGCAAACCAAAAAAATTAGAAAGAGTCCTCATGAAGATGTGGTTTATTGATCTAAATAGATGGTTTTCAACCAGTGGACCACAGTTTCAAGCCCTACTTCACCTACCAAGGTTAGGAAAACCAGATGATATCATTGGCCTTCATACAGTAGGTGTGACTGACTCATTACCTACTGCATGCACATAGTTATTGAGAGTTTTGTTTAACAGTAATTTCATGAACCATCGTCAACCGAAGGAACTATGAAAAGTAGAAAAAAACGATTTCTAGTTTCACTGTTAACCCGTTAACATCTATTACCCTTAAAATACCCAAAAGCGTGACATTGTGATCTCAGATGTTTTCACTAAGCCTTCCAAGTTTTGTTAATTTTTGTCATATCATTATCCTTGCGCAGTACTACCACTGGCCAGTTGTCGTCACAACTTAGGTTGTAACTACCATGTAGGCCTCAAAAGTATATTGAGCTGTTTAAGTGACAACCTCTTTTGTTTGCTGACAAATGAGACCCACTCTTTGGTGATCTCATACTTTTACTAAATTTGCATGTAATTTTACTTACTGTTGGAAGCCGAGCACAACAGTTTTCATTTCGTAGTGAAGACTATATTATTACTAAGTTAACTGGTTTGAACGATATGCAACTATGCTTTTTTATACTAATAAACACCATATGACGAGGATAAAAGTATTGGGCAACTCTTCTTTTTCCATGCTCTTCAGAAGTACACCGAAAAAGCCATCAGCGGTCAAACTTAAATCTTCTTAGAAATTTTAAACTATGTTACCACGTGTAAGTCAACAGTCTGTAAAAAAGGTGGCCCGCTTCTACCTGTTTTTCAGTTAATGCAAGTGTTTAGAAACTTCATACATATTCTGTCGTTAGACAGGAAATATCACAAATGTAAGATGCTCTTTTAGCAGTCTTGCGGACCGTATGTTCATCTTTCTGTGAAGCCGAGCCTTCGTACTACTGTGGGGTTCTAACTGAGTGACTCCACAGTAAAATGGAAGACAGATAGAAGTGCTTGGTACCACGGAATGTCGCAACAGAATCCAGCATTTTTTTAGTGTTTCCTTATCCATTAGGGCTCTTATAATATTACAGAAATGATCCCATCTTTAAATCTTGATTGAAAAAAGTAGTATTTAACTGAGTAAATATTTAAGGAAACAAAAGTAACATAATTTCTACTGAAATTCAATTACCCCAATAGTTTATCCTGTCAATTTTGCTTTCCTCCTTGATTTAAACGATTTCTCTCTGGGAACTCGGTGTCTTTGTTTTGAAACTTCACTGTGTTGTTTGTTGCTGTTCTGCTTTTGCTTAACAAATCTAGTCATCGAAGTTAAATTACACGATGCTTCTAAAGACACAGATTTTAACCAACGAGTTTGCTGGTGCTGAATTATTTCTGTGTAAGCTTTGGTTTTATCCTGCACTTTTATATGCACATGTCCGCTCGCACTTGCATTAAACTATCAATTCAGTGCACACAGATTTGCGTGACTTTTCGGTGATTTCTCATTTTATTGGTTCCACTATATCTGCTTTTGCTTTAGTTAACACGTTTAATTTCGTTATAGTGTGTGAATTTAATCCTTTGGAGTTTAAGAGAACCAGGTTCTATTTTGTATATGACCAGCCCTTTTCCTGTTAAGTTTAATCTTAGGGCGTAGTTCTTAACAAATGTAAGTTTGGATGCACAAGCTTTTATCTGTAATTTTGAATAACTTTGACTCATTGGTGTCTGTGATATACATGTATATTTCTATTGTGTGGCGCATTTTTATGACGATATCTAATCCGATGTTTGTGTTCCGGGTTTGACAGTAGTTGTTTTGTATGGTAGATATTAAGTAAAGTTACCTAACTATGTAGGTTTTTTCACATCTTATTGTTAAAATATATTGAAATTCCTACTGTCTTGAGTTATAGAATGTATACCTAAATTGCATAGGCTTGTTCATCCTTAACCCTGCCGTTTTAAACTATACACTGGGATTATGCTGCACTATCTGTTCACCTTTTGCCGCTTTCTAAACGCTGTGATACTTTTGGTTTTGTTTAAAACTTCCCTCCAGATATCGAACTAAAACCAATTGAGCCTCCTCAAGAAAATCAGTGGAAAACTTGTGGCTGTTGAATTCAAAGTTCATCCATCTACAAATTATTTTCCCGGGTACAAGTTGGATTTTCGTTTCACTAAATATATACATAATATATAGCGTGCATTAATGTGAGTCAGCCTTGGATTGCCCTTCGCCAACTTCAATATTGTCCCAGTTCACATACTTTAATTGAACTCGATCTGAGTATATGTTTGAAATATATTTTCTTACTTTTACAATGCTATATATTCGTAAATATGTACAGCTTTTTTGGTTGTTTTCGGTTGCAGGATCTTTATAGCCTTTACAATACAGTTTTGATTTCATTTCCCCCTTCCTAAAACTTAAGTCTTTTCTTTGTTTAAAACATGGAAAATGTTAGTGACCATTTATTTTTTTTCACGATCCTCAACAAAATCTGTGATGATTATGCTTTTTACAAACCAAACACTTGAGCTTAAAGTCTCTATGTTTTATTTCTTGTTCATACTGGCTTTTGTGGACATAATTTATCGATCTTGAGTTATTCTTTCGTTTCTCTTTAGGTGATATATATATACCTGGTTGTAACATCGTGCGCTTATTTTACTTCTGATAACCTGTTCATTTTTTTTGTAAAGATTTGCCTCCGAAACATTTGATCTTTTTCTCAGTATTATGCGTATTAAAATTAGAAACCGCAGGAAGGGAAGGTCACATTAACTCAGTGCATTCGAAAGTTTAAAGATTGTCATTGTTTGCATTACCTTTGTCAGACAGTGCATTGAAGACCACCCTTTCTTACATATTATAAACGTTTATTACGTCTGAAGCAAGACGTCGACTTAATTCGTAGGTATTACTGATGCATCAAGAACCAAACCTCAGTGTTACTGACAACTATCACTCCTGAACTCCGTGTTCAAATAAGATTAAGCTGTGACTGGAAGGATTTAGCAAGTCATAGTGCTACTATCATAAAATAACATATCATACCCAATTAGCAGAATTCCAGGTGATTTTTACAAAAAGTTATTTTGAGTCAGTGGGTGGTAAAGTAAGTGAAAAATTAACATCTGGTTTTATGAATCTGACTATCCCACACACTTCATTCGAAATAGTCTTTTTCGTCACTTACCGCAGTTTAGCCGTCTAGATTGCGTGATTTGACCATTGCTCAGGAAACAACAGTTTATCTCAAACGAATAATCGGTTTAGTGGAATTAAACATTCTGTTTCGCACTGTCACGTCAATAGCTGAGAAACTTTGCAAATCGGTAAGGCGAAACGAAGATGAAGAAAATAAAGTTCAGTCGAAAGAGATATAGAGTACTAAAAGAGAGAGAGGAAGAATCAGAAAATGATGAGATTCGGGATAGCGTCGTTAAGATGAGGATAATTTATGTATACATCTGCGCCACTTGACTTCGGTTTTGAGTCGTATCACCTAGAGTCTCCAACCACTAGTTTCTCTTGTCCCGTGTGCCCCAACCACCTAGTCTGCATCGCCCCACGTGACTCAAACTAACAGTCAAGGACTTCATACATTGGTGCCATGTTTTAGTCTGGCTACCTCGGGCCTTTTTCCAGCTTAGACCTACTTCGGCCAACATTGTATGACGAGGCAGTTGGCGGCTAGACATAGGTAACACGTGTCCCAACCATCTCAGTCGATGAAGGTTCATAACCTCGTTAGCTGACTTACTTCTCCCGCCTAGAACTCTACATCTGACTTCTGCATTACCCACGTGGTGACACTACGGAATACGGCGTATACTACGAAGGCAACGGTGGTCAAATATCTGAAGCCTTCTCGTGTCTTCCAACTTCAGTGGTCATGTTTCACAGCCATAGAGTAGAACAGACCGGACTGCTGTGCAGTACACGCGACCCTTAATAGAAAATCGGATATCACGGCGGCGCCAACACTAGTAATTAAGAGCGTGAAAAATGTTAGCGGTAGATCGCTGTGTGGTTGGATGGTTCTGTGAGTGCATCAAGATTTTTTCTCTAAATACACACGGGTTACGTTATCAGATAGCTCAACACAATAGCTGCACGTAACGTATACAGTCTAGTGAGGCTGCCTGTCTTGCTAGATGGGGTCCAATTTAAGCCTATGACCCACTGGCTAAAGAACGACTATCTAGACCAATGTAACAACCCCACACAGGGGCTTTGCAATGGCTAAATATGAGAAGCCAAAAGGACAAATTTAGAAAATAGCTTTCATGAGTAGACAGTCTGAACTAATCAGAAAACTCTGCAACCTAGCTGTGAGTTAAGCATCAGTTTTCGCATGACTTTTATTTGAATAACCATCACTTTCATACTAAAACCAACAGTAGTCATAACATGTAACTGTTAGATAATACCACTGCTAAAGGAAGATATCTCGCATACCAAAATTAGTAAACAGAGTGCGATACATGCTGTTGACTGAACATTCCTGTTGTGCGAAGTGATAGTCATTATTAAATAGACGTTTGAACATCTGGCCTGGGAAACTTATAACGAATCCTGAGCAGATTTCAACGACGGCGGATATTAAGCATGCTAAAACTACATGGACTCCGTACAGCGTAAATCAAAAAAAGCTGGAAATAATGTCAAGGAGTGCATTGATTTCAAAAGATTTGGTCGGAAAATGATATGAAACCTCCATCCGGTTAGTTTTGGCCATTATCTAAAGCTGAAATTTCAACGCAGTAACGCAACGCAAAGCACAGTAGAATTGAGAAGTGTTTTTCACATGCTAAGAAATCCGATTGCAGAAAGTTGGTCAGTGAGGAAGCCGAGTCCGCTAGTCACTGAGCAGGCAACCAGGACGATATGTATAATTTCATACAATTCTTTCCCTTCACAAATTTAAATACAGCAACAACAGCTCCAGCAGAATTCCATAGATCCACTTTATTTCATGGTTTCTTATCAGCTGCTTACAACCAGAAACATTTTAATTTAGAGGTAGTATTCATCATAGACTGACATCAGTTGGGGAACCATTGAAAATCTGGGAGCACTGGGCAGCTGTCTCGTCCTAATGTGGGACTCCCCAGCAGCACGCACCCACGACCCGGCTAGGGACCGAATTCGGGACCTTCAGGTTCCACGGCGAACGCGTGAACCACCCAGCCAGCTTGTATGAATCGAAACAGATGTGTAAAAAAAGCATCATGATTGTCAACAACGCACTTGTGAGTATATTTGTGACTAAGAGGTGGAAGGATTTTCAACAGCGCTATTACTCTTCACCTTAATGATACTGGACATGAAGTCAATACTCAGAAATCGTACAGAAAAAATTGACAAACAGATAAATTTGGATTTGCTACGATTCATAGAAGCCTTAGCTATTAAAAGATTAAAACCAGACTTGTGTTCAGAAAGAAATAGTTATCAGTCTGTGCCTACCATGGTAATCACTTTTGTTGACAGTCGTCACGCATTTACGTAACACTGTCGGTTCATAAAAGTTGTTTGTTTGTTATTTTACACTTCACACCCTTGACCTAGTCATCTGAATCCTACTCACATTAGTTCCTAGTTAACATAATCTTATGACCTTCCACACATTTTGTGTAAACTTTCTTAGTGCGTTGAATACACATGCTCCCCTTCTTATCCAACTTCCACTTCGGAATATTTGTATAATCTTTCTGTATATCGGTAAAATTAGTTCTACGTATTTATTCACTCAATTCGTGTATTTTCAATTACTTCATATCGAGGATATGTTCAGTTCAAGCTGACAATTTTCTGCCTTGCTGATTCGAGTGTGCAAAAATTTCGTATGAATTGATGATGACTATGGCTCTTCATTCTTGAATGTGCTTAGAAAGTGTTGTTGATATGTGATGGGTGTTTTTGTCATGAAATTTATAGCTGTGTTTACTTCGCTTGATCTAATGTAATTTAAGAGATAGTGTGCAAATGTTTTGTGAAAAATAGTCTTTAGTTTTGCAATGTAGACGAACCAGCTAGTATATGAGGATCAACAAATTATATAGTGTGACTATCACAACGCTCTAATTAGAAGTCATGACCTGTGAGGTCAACCAGTCGGAAGTGAAGCGGATGCTAACTGAAGACCTTGGGTGATAGTCGCGCTATGTCGTGAATTGATAGAAGTTGGAAATTGTGAACCACTGGGAACCGACCCAGTGGCTGGGTGGTTCACGCGTTCGCCGTGGAACCTGAAGGTCCCGAATTCGGTCCCTAGCCGGGTCGTGGGTGCGTGCTGCTGGGGAGTCCCACATTAGGACGAGACAGCTGCCCAGTGCTCCCAGATTTTCAATGGTTCCCCAACTGATGTCAGTCTATGATGAATACTACCTCTAAATTAAAATGTTTCTGGTTGTAAGCAGCTGATAAGAAACCATGAAATAAAGTGGATCTATGGAATTCTGCTGGAGCTGTTGTTCTCGCTCTACTTAGGTAAATATAGTGCCGGACATACTTTGCAGCCTCTCACTTCGTACTCACCATGAAGACACCGAATTGATGATGGCTGAAAATCTTGGATGGAGAAGATGCTGCAATAACTGGTAGTGTCAAATCAGAAGAAATTACTGCGTTCTGAAGCAGCAAAGCTGGGGAAAACTAGGCAGATGTGAGGCCTAATGGCACCTAATTACTACAATTTCAGTAGATCCTGTGACAAATGCATCTACCACTATGTGATCACGTCCTGCAAATTATAGGCAGAAGTTGATACTTATGGGGACCAAGGGTCACATGAGTTTTGATGAGACGACTTCAGCGTGCTTGCCAGCGATTACTAGCATAACTTTTCAATGGGTGTGCCTAATGGCAGTACTTCCACCCCAGCTCATAAATGCTTCAGTTGATCACAAGGATGCAGACAATCTATTTTCAACAGGTAAAACTGCTTTTCAAGATGAGATCTCTATGACTCAGGACGCTTTTCAAACCCACCTCGCTCTAATTAGCGCATGCTATCGTCCAACGTCTTTAATTCCTTCTACCTACTTATTTTCCGTTTTCGTTTAACTCCTATCTTTGTTTTTCATACTTAACGCATGCTAATCACTTCTCTTTGCAGTGGTAAGGTGATTTCAATTGAGATGTTGCTGTACTTGACCGTACGCCGGATTTACCTATGATATGAAGGTAGCACGACTCAGCAATTGTTACCGCACCTTAATTCTCAACTTATCGATAAAACCAGCGTAATCTATGTTGACGAACGGGTTAGTTCTGACATTCTGAGAATGAGAAAAAGTAAACATTTCATACTTTATAAAATACTTGGTGCTGGCCAGCAGTGAAACCCAAGAAGTCCATTTTGTCCTATTTGGGACTCATCAGTGGGACATGCCTGTGCCCCAGTAAGTGATAGTGTTCCCACTGCGACTCGGATCCAGGACCGATAGCTTTAAATGCCAAGGCGTTAGTCACTAGGCCACTGATCATCCGGTATAACAGCTGGGAATTACGACTACCAACAAATCTCATACTTCAGTTGGAAAGGATTAGAACAACAAAAAATTATCGTTATCTCTTACTAAAACATAAATAAACTACGGCTCGCATGCGTAGCGCTTCCTAACGATAGAGTTTTGACTATCTTCAGTGCTACATTGAATGTGCATTCTTGAATGATGTAAGAAAGATTCCGGCAGTTTCAGAACTTAAAGAAAGTTATTCTTAAGGCTTGCAGGTAATAAGTTCCGATTATAACTACATAACTAGGACGTGTTCAAAAGCTCTGTTTCTAGATAACACTGAATCGGTAGTTTGCTACCACTGGAGTGATTTTAAGGTTTATCGTTGCTGAGCTTGCCTGTGATCGATGAGAGCAAACTTAGTCTAGCAACATCTTACGGCTTGTTACAGTTTCTAAACCAATAATTCCTATTATTATTCGTCAAATTCCCACTCCGAGTTGCAAACAGTGGATACGCAATGCGGTTTCAAAACCTGTCCAGTTCTGACTAATGACGAAACTGAAAATATGCACCATCTTCAGATACCCATACTTTCGTTACAAATATAGTCCTCCCTTAGATGTGAATAAATACGATTCTTCGAAATCATGTATGAACTATGAGAAGGTGAATGACGTCACGAAACTGAAACCGTGAGTTCTGTGGGTACATCTAAGATTCATCAGAAAACTCACCTGCAACGTGCCGAAAACAATTCTAACTGGAATCAAACTTTAACAGTGTAACATGTGTGCTTATATTTCAATTCGGTTAAGAACTTGCATCGTTTCTTCTGATATTTTGCGACTTATAACTACCACAACCAATATACCACTAAGAAAGAAGTGGAACAACAAAGCAGGCGCAAAAGTGTATATATAATGTTTAGTAAAATACAAAACAAATTCGCTAGTTTCCATTCAACTGAACAGAAGTTGGTGGTGGCGGTGGAGGTGGTGGTGGGAATGGTGCAGAAGATGCATTTGTTCCAGAATTTGTAGAAACTGAGGGTGGAGGAGGTGGAGGTGGAGGCGGCGGAGCTGCAAGTGAAAACGAAGGCGGGGGAGGTGGAGGAGGAGGTAGCAGAGGTTTCGTGTCTTTACCAGCTGTGCCAACCATAATTGGGGGAGGAGGTGGGGGTGGTGGCATACTTGTCATGCTGCTGTTTATAGGCATACCAAGAAGAAAACTAGGAACTGGGAGTCCAATAGCTTGTGGTGGAGGCGGAGGTGGGGGTGGTGGTGGCGGCGGTAACTGAAGCTGAAGTTGTGCATGTTGAGCTTTAGCTTTCTGCATTTCCAAATCACGAAGCATGGCACTGGAAGACGACTGACTTTCAAGTTTGAAAGCGAACTACAGGAAAAGCATTTATATTCACAAAAGTGCAAAAAGTTGAAGGTGAAAAAGTAATATAAAAATCTTATTTTTGAGTAGTAAACTTACTAAATTGTGAAGTAGGTACTTTTGTCAGATTGATGTTCTTTCTCATACACATGCGCACAGCCCATCACCACTTGGAGCATATAGATTTAACTCTCATATACTCAGTTTTCAGCTCTACTGCTAAAGCATGTAATGATTATCTGTACCGGATATGAAATAACAAGAAATATTACCTATTCGACTGTAGGAAATTATATTACTGTTACGACAGCTGAAAGTACCTTCAATAACCAGTTGTCAGCTTTTTATGTTAGCTCTATTGCCACATACATTTCAAAGTGAAACCACATGATTTACTGGATAACACTGTGGATCCAATCTACAGTCTAATGTCGTACCTCGCTAGCTGCACATCTATGAGATGATAATTATTATCCTAATATCCTTTCCCCTGTTTATCACTGTGCAGATATATCGGGTTAATTTGAAAATGATTTTTTATCATGTGCTCACAAAGACAAAGATGTCAAGTGCTCTATTGTTGCAAGTGGTTTTTCAACTAACGCCAGTTTATAGTTTACTGTAAAACAATTACATCGTATGAATAACTGCTAATATTGTGAGATTGTTAACCTCTATACTATGACCACTCATATAGTGTTATGACAGAGTACCTATAAGATAAATAGTGCAGAAGTAGTCTGCTGAATACCTCACCCACAGACATACATCATATTTCATAATTGCAAACCAACCTGGAGAAAAAATTGTTTAGAGCTTAAATTCCAATAGGTCCACAATTTCTTCGGATCTTTATCTACTTCACGACTTGGGATTTTAAAAGCAATCGTCTCATATGGCTCAGCAGCAAATAGTAAATATTGCCATCTTTTATCCGGCGGTTCAACATGCTGTTCATAGGCAGACATAAAACGATGCCGAGGTATCACACCAGAAGCATCAGCTATCTCTGGATAGTCAATTTGAAATAGCATAGATTGCTGATTACTATCTGGATCCTTTTGTTTAGTTACCTAAATAATAAAAAGTAATACATCCATAGGAAAATATAAAGATATGAACATTCACAAGTACAAAAAAACTAAATCATCAACGTAAGTATGATAAGAATTGCAATTTTTATTTTCAAATCAATATACAGATTTGACCAATTTTGCACCATCGACTATTGTTGATTACATTTTGTTTATCAACTGCTTGCATTCTCTTCGGCGTAAGAAAACATATATAAGTTGATAATACAGTCGCAAACAACTACATCAACGAAAGAATTTATATAAAATGCTACACAGGACAAATACTAGAATTTTGTGTCATGATAATAGATAATTTATCACAAAACAGTTTGCCACAAAAATCTCAAAACCGAACAAAAAAGAGTACTCTTTTTTCATCTTATAACAGCTATAACAAATGAAAAAAATATGAATGCTAACAACCGCCATTCTGTTATTTGAAATTACAATTATCACTGAATGGTGAATCAGACCAGATATTTTTCATCGGGTCACGAGTTTGAAACTCTCACCACCCAAAAGTGTTTAATAAATGCGTGGTAGTCGTTGTTTTTAGATTACTCCATGAATATAAACATCTTTGATCAAATCATCTGAAATAACAGCGATTAATAGACTGTTCCTGATATACAGAGATGACTGCAGCTAAAATGTAAGACTGGATTGCCACAGAACTCGGGCAAATGACCTCTGTAGTTACTAAACACTTTTCGCACATATTCTCAGCCTGCTATTAAATTATGTCCTCAAAAAACAATGGTTAACAGATTACTGCCAGTGTAACAAACATTTCCTCTTCGAAGCTTACCAGAAAAAATTTATGAACATCAAACCCTCTAGTTCAGAAATTTGACGTCCATTTATGGAAACATCCTTATAATGAAACTATTTCTGAATTGAAATCTCCAGTGTGAACACACAAAACGCTACACTGAAAGACACTTCAGTTCATTCTCAACAGGAACGATGTCACAAAAAAAGTGACGATGAATGAAGTAAGATCTCATAGTTAGTGTCTTGTGACCTATCTGGGACACCAAATCAGAATTTATATACAAGGTAACTAAGAACGAAAAATCTGTTTATTCATTCAGTCAAATCTTCCCTTTCCTGATTTTTCCTTAAAGAATATTTTACCAATTCAAAGGAAAGTGATTTAATAATGAAAACACCATTTGTATTTTTGTAGGATTTCATACGGAGTGCCATAGGACACCCAGTTGTTTTGAAAATGTTCCATACGGGGTTGTATGTGGCTGCTGAAAACCTACGAAATAAAATGACGCCATCTTATCCTCTAGATGGGGTTTTTTCATCTCGTTATTCAATGTCATTAAGGGAACTAAGAGTAGAAAATGATTTACATATAATCGAATCTCACAAATGGGACACTTGTATGCGGACTAGTTATTACTAGTCTTAGCTTCGGTAGGTGGAACTGCGTCTGAGCCCGTGACCCATTTGGTTGGAAACTCGGTGTCTAGGTCAAGAAGCCACAGCTCCACATTACGCTAGATGATCCCACACTGATAACCAGCAGTCTGCTACAAACGGACAATGAAAATGATAACTTACATAATGCCTTAACAATGGGTATGCCAACTAATGATAAATTTTCCTCATCAATAAAAGACTGGAACAACTCCCTGTTTAATGGAATTCTGAGTATGATTTCATTACATACGCTACTTTGAAACACGATGAACTTGGTCATAGTTATTTTTAATATGTATCACACAGTGAAACACAGTAAATAATGCTGTTTCACTATATGATATATTTGGAAAAAGAACAATAATACAATTATTACTGTACCACAGTGCTCAAATTCTAACTCTCACATTAACAAAGAGCTTTGGGTCATAAGCCAAACTTATCATACTGAGCATTTTCAGTTCGACACTGCAACCAACTAATTTGAATGAAATAGTAACTTACATTAGTCTGATTGCGTCCTCTCACCCTAAACACACGTAGATTCACAAATACCTGATAAGATTTGAAGACCTATGACCGAAATCCATACATTCTTATTTTGCATCAGCGTTATGAATCTGTTTATGACCACTTCTGAAAAGAATTATGACACGGATTCAAACCGAAGATTATTTATTTCTATAAGTTGTCCAAAATCCTAACAACTTAAAGTGGTGTACACTTGTAACAGAAATGTAGTTCATTTAACTAGAAATACCGCAATCACTCTTCTTATACATTTGTAAAGTGTAAGTCAATCAAAATTAACGCGGAACCTGGTACCCATTCACAACGGTCTAAGTTGTCACACATCAAACTAGAGAATCAAGATAAAAGGCGCTAAGATTAAAGAGAAATAAAGATGAATAATATGAAGTTGTAAAACGATGGGGTGAATGGATAAAACGATGAAATTCTACATGACGATCAGGATGAAGATAATGCAAAGGTACACTCACACCACTTAGATTCTGAGCCAACCAGTGCAGTAAACAATGAGCCACAACTACTGTGTGAGGGCTAGTGATACTATCTGGCTCCCTAAACCTCAGTAGGTGAGCGGAGTTCAGACCCAAAACCCGCTGGTTGATAATCATCTCCATAAACCGCCGAGCCACAGCACCAAAGCACATCACTACTGGATTAACAACTTCGATAGCGAAAAAAGTATTCCAACCGATAGCTGCTACCTACACGTGATCGTCGGGCATGCAAATCACAGTGACCCAACGAGCAATGCTGGTGGAGGGCTTGTTCCTTCGAGGTCCCGCAAAAACAGAATGGTCACCTTGGTATCATTAAGATAAAAAAACAGTTGCTTTTTTTGCGTTGCGACTGTAGGATGGGGGTCCGATGGCGAAGTCTTCCTGCTGGATTTACGAGGATGCAGCATCAGCAAGGTATTTTCTAAGGATGACTAACAGTAACATTCTGATGCTGCTTTTTCTATTCGTCACGGGTTTGAACCCTACCCCATCTCAGACAACATCTGTGGCTCATTGTCTACAGCACAAATGTGCATTTGGTTGTTGAATGAATTTCATTTCACTTTCTACGGAAACGAGGGGTTACAAAAGGTCAGCTCAAAAACATCACACTCCTTTACCTTTACCGGTACTGATGACATGCATTCGAGAAAAAACAACTGAAATATCAAATTTCTAAAACGGCCGTATGTGACCGGTTGTAAGTTGGTCCACATCGGGTTTCGCAGTCACATGCCACTATTACTAACCCTTCTTTTTCAGGCAACTCAGGAAAAAAGAACCAGCCTTCCACGAAGTGGGCAATCGAGAAGTGCCAACTGTCTTCACAACTCTTTCAGCACTCAAGTTTCTTCAAGCCATTATCATTCTTTCGCGTCATTATTTTCTGATCGTTTTTCACATCTCTCATTCAATATTTCTACATCATCCTTAATTTCTTTCAGCTCTGCAACTCTTGATAAAGATTCGAGTTCTCAGAAAAGAGACGCATCTGATCTAAATTTGCACTCCGAAACTACACATTGAAGCACTCAAATAAGACAAACTTCGCTAGCCAAAAACTGGTGTATCGGGCCATGGATATGTGCTGCGTTTGTGAGACATGCATACAAGACTTAAGTGTAGTTATTCGCTTAACCTCATCCGATTAACATCACAAATCGGTAAAAATCAACCGTCGACTTTCAGGGAGTTCGGTGGCTAGTTCTCACAGTCTTGCAGGTTTAGGTATGGCATTAAGTGCTAGGGAAGAAATTGCACTGCCCGACTAGATCACAGTTGACAGTAACCTATGCGTCGTTCGGCTGAATGGGAGTGATGACCAGAAAGAGAGACAAAACTCGGAATTGTTTCTTTGTAACCTCCATATACACAGCCACTGACTTCAACTTGGATGAATTGAAGGATGATTTCTAACAAAAACTATCCAGCCTCCTGCTGAAAGCCAAGCGTTTAGGCATGGCAGTCATAGCAGGTGGTTTTAATGCAAAAGTGGTTAGGCTAAGTCATGCAGAAAGGCATTTCAGTGGCACTTTGGGAATCTCAGCTGAACGAACAGATAACCGTGATCACCTGCTACAATGAAGCGTTAGCAGATACCAGCAGCATTTTCAGAATTAATGGTTGCATTTGAATGTTTTCCCGTAGCTTCCAAGCACAAAGACGAGAAGAAGAAACTCGTACGTGGATTGGCAAAGTCTACGCAATGATCATAAGCAGTGGTGGGTAGTGAAGGCTAAGACAGAGGCGATAGGTAACAGTAGACGGCTATTTAGACCAGTCAAGTAAACTGGAGTGAAAACGTCAGTGGTTAGACTATCCCAGAGAAGAATGAATCTGAGACTCACTCGCAGGAGAGATGACTGAATACTTTGAGGAACAGCTCAACTGACCTCCAGTAACTATTCCGTTGACCGCCATCCAGTTGGATCCTAAATCGAACATCGAGAGAGGGTAGCAGGGACAGATGGACTAGTACCGGAGTTCTTTTACAACGGATTCGTCAGACAAACTGAAGTGTTAGCTAGTGAACAGTAGGCAGATATGATCGTCTCAGTCACTGATCGTCCCAGTCTTCAGGGAAGGAGAGATATCTACCTGTGGTAATCATAGAAGAATCAGTATGAACACAGTGTTTCAGATTCTAGGTTCTGTAACTAATGTACGCTTAAGTGGAGCTCAGATACAGAAAACCCGAGAAAACCAGATAGGTTTCAAACCTGGCCATGGATGTGTCGACTAGATATTCACTCTCGGCTCGAGTCTAGAAAACAGGCGCGCTTACTAACTCCTGACGGTAGTTGTATTGCTCAACCTGAAGGCAGTATTCAACTGCTTCGACCTAGAGGTCTAATGGCAGTGTCTCACTGAGAGGCGTGCTGCCTAAGTACATCATTCTGTTGGAGGTTATGGTATTCATCAAGGAAACCGACTTTCTCCATCCTTACTTAGTTTTATTACAAATGTGCAGTTGGAAGTCTCCTTTTAGTCTTCTATTTATAGGGATTGATCTCGTTACAAGAGACTCCTCAGTAAACCTAGAGTAAATTGTGTGGATGATTTAGCTCTATTGGGTAGAGATCTTGACAAAATGTAGTCTTCTGAACACCATGATTGGCAACTTAAGAATGTTTGGAATGGGTTTCTGGCTAACCAAATGCGAACTCCAGCATTAGTGCTGGTGTGTTTTGGTGCCTCATTTAACAATATGGAGTGAAATAGTTGAATTAATTTACTACTTCACTTCCGTGGGAGGTCGGATGAGCACTGATGGGTCAGTAACCGAAGAAATTACTGCACGGATACAAAATGCTTTATTGGCGTTCGCAAACATCATTAATGATACTGCCGTGATATCCGGTTACATATCAAGAGCCAAGCGTACTGCATAGCCATTTGCTGTCCTACCATATGGCTTATTGGTTCAGGAAGGTGACTACCAGCCGGTGGGTCACAGGTTCAAACAGTATTTCATCTACCGAGGTTTTGGTGGCCAAGTAGCATCACCAACCCCACGCAATAGGTGAACCTGCTGCGCGAATGTGTAAAAGGTTTTTGAGCGAATTTCGACTATATGGTAGTGAAAATAGTTATTAAAGGTAGAGATGACAAGACTTCAGGTTGCATTCGTAGTATACGCAGTGCCATGGCGCCACTACGCAATAACATGGGAGTCAGGCGGAGAGATCTGGGCAGAAGAGGAAAGCCTCGTTGCACAATCTTTGTTGAAGTAGGTCTAGGCTGGGAAAAGGTTAGGGACGGCCTTACTAAAACATAGTATCAGCCAGTTTGAGCCATGCAGAGGGATGGAGACTTCTCGGTTTGGGTTTGCATGACAACACAAACTAGGGGTCGGAGACTGTATCTGACCTCAGAGGCGCAGATGTACCCAAACAGTATTTTCATCCCAATCGTCATGCTGAATTTCACTACTTCTTTCCATCTTATCGCAACTTTGACCGCTTTTGACTTTCTTTATATCTTTATCTTTCACGCTAGTGCACTCTCGCTTGATGTGTGGTAACTTGGATTGCTACACAGTAATGCCAGATCCTATGTTCATATTGTTTGGTTCTGACTAACAACACTGGGCGTTTGAGTATAAAACCTTCAACGGGGTGATGCACTTAACCCACGACTGTTTTAGTGACAGACATTTATAAGACCTCTTAATCAACAGAGTCCAATGCCACCCCGCGATTAATAAATGCAGCAATATACCTGTGTTGCAAAAACTGGCGGAGAATGATGATCTGGTAGATAAACTCACGGTAATGTTTGACAAATGCCTGGTTTTCTCGGGTTTTCTGTATCTGAGCTCCACTTAAGCGTACATTAGTTACAGAACCTAGAATCTGGGACATTGTGTTCATTATACTGATTCTTCTATGATTACCACAGGTAGATATCTCTCCTTCCCTGAAGATTGGGACGATCAATGACTGAGATCAGTCAGAGAGGATCATATACGATGTGAGTTTAATTATATGTTTTCACCTAGAGGAATCGATGAAAATATACGAGTTATGATCAATTCAACATATGAAAATTAGTTCGTACGTATTATGGTTCTACAAACATAAAAACATACTTTGTAACCAGGACGACCGATTTTAATGAATTTTTTCGGTTCTACTTTTACACGCTCTGGCTGCATTGTAGAAGGGGCTTCACGAGCCTGTTCAACAGCACGCCTTTGTAAATTATATTGATGCTTCTTACCTAAAACAAAAAGTAACATGGATAAAACAAACCTACGTTTGTACAAAAAAAACAGTGACTAAATTCAAGTAAGTTCGAAGAAAAATAGAACTGAGTAGTACCATGCTAAAAACCATCCTTTTTTCTTTGCATTGAATTACAACATCAAGTTTTAAAAGGGTGTGACAAGTGTAAATAAATCTGTACTAAACTGTTTTTAGTGTGAATAAGTAGGCTGACTAGGGTCATCGAAGTGACTGAGATCAACAGTTGGAAAGCTTTTAATACAATGTCTCAAAAACTACTACAATGATGTAGATGCATCGTTTTTATTATTTTCAAATTGTTAACACTTTCATTCGCCTTTATTTGTCTACCCTTTCTTAACATACACTTTCGCTTGCTTTGATATTGTTATTCTACGCGATATTTCTATTTGCGCTAATATTGAATACGAAAACTTGAATTATTGCACTTTGTGAGATTTAGTGACGCTATTACATACTAATTAAGTTGGAACTTTTAGTCCCTTTTTGTATCGAACTGCCTGAGTGCATCTTTGCGATGAACATATAGCAAAGTTTTGTTATCCTCCAATGTCTCTTACAATGTTGGACATACGTAGATTAACCAGTTTCTTCAAAGAATTATTGACAAGCTGTGGTATAGAATAGAATTTTAATGCAGCAGCAGAGATTTAATAATAATAAAAATGTTGGACCTTACAATAAAGTCCTATTAGCAAACAGCCTTCTTTTCACCATCTCATTGTGCAGTGTTTTTACCCTCCATGTTTGTTACTCAATATTTTGATGTTTTCATCAGAATTCCTACCAGTTTTTCGTCTCCCGACGTCACGCTAAACCACTAAGTCACAGTTCCCTGAGGGTGATAATACTTTGTGGTAGCCCAGGTAGGAGTAGGTGGGGCGAGATTAGAACCCGACCCTCTGAATGGAAGTTATGATTATAGGCTAGTGAGCCCCAGTCCCAAAAATGACGTACGATATTGGACCAAGTATTTTTGAAATATCCATAGAATTACTTAATGTGCGAAAGCTTGAATAACAGCGACAATGAATGGTTAACAGTGAAGTTAATGAGTAAATGAATCCCTAGCACGAAACTGTAGGCAACTTACGAAAATACTTTGTTAACTAACCCAGCACCCCCTTACGCAAAACAGAAGTAACTAACGAAAGCTAACGAAGGTTTCATACCATATCGATGTATTAGGATTCCCCTGGCAGCAAAGAGTACCCAAATAAGATCACTTTTCGTAACATGTTCCCAAGTAGATTGAAGCTGTAGTCGAAATGGACTGCCTGCCAAGACTTGATTAGGCACAGGTATCTTTCAAAATATGCTAATCAACTAATAACTAAAATTCAAAACATGCAAATGGTAACCTAGGCCAAGATGTGCAACCATGAAGTACATTTGCAAGTACTTGTGAAAACAGAAACAAAAGAGAAAATGAGGAGCTGAGGTACCTTGGGTATGTGCGAGATAACTCCCTTCATTATTATGCAACGTCAAACACAATTTGCATTCATAGGTACCCAAATGATTTTTCATAAAATATGGGTCCTTATTGAGATCGATTGTGTCAAGAGCAAGCTGCCGCAAGCGCTCTCGACGATCACGATTCGCTTCAGCCTCCGACGCTACGCCACCTGAACCGGTTTTACCCCCTACTCGATGCTGAAAATCCATCCTTTCAAGGACGATCCACAACGACAAATATTTGAACAGACCGCTTACAGGTCATTGTAAATTCAGTATCCAATGCCCTTTGGTGAGTTAATGTAGACCGACTGGTTTCTTCACACCCGCTTCTGGGTCTTGCGGAAAGGTTTAAGATCTTTGGTTGCTTCCAGTGCAGTAGGTCTAATCATTCTTTTGTAGTAACTCTGGTCAGCCCTGAGAGCGGTTGGGTGTTGACTAAATTTCCAGGGATTGCATGATTTTTCCTGGGACTGTGGTGCAGGGGGGGTTTCCCAAATATCGCACCATCAGGCAGATATTCGGAATGGTTGTTGAAGTAGGATATGAAGGATTTCTAGCAAAATCAAGGGAGAGGAAGTGCGTAGAAGAAAATAGGAAAACAAGTGGAAGGGAAGGGAAGGAGAAACCTAAATGGGGAGAACCTCAATAAATAGTGTGAGACCGGAGAGTCAGGGAGAGAAGGAGCAAGAAAGCATAAACTTGGGTTATGGGAACAAAAATAGTAATGCTTTAACTGGGGCTGGCAACTGGAAGTGAGACCTCTAGCGAGAAGTAAGCTTGACTGTGCCTGGTTTGTGCGGAGTTAGTAGGTTGTTTCAAAGTCGTTCGCCTTCTAGATGGATGAGCCCATACCATGCATAGCTATGTGGTTGTATACCCCGTACTTGGGGCTTTCGATAGATGGGGTAGTGGCAATCTAGGCAGGCAGCGCGTTTCAGTGGCTGCTAACTCACAGAGAGAAAAAGTGTGAGTGCACATGCGCTTTTGCTCATTTCGGTGAGCATTTCTCGTTTGGTTAACAGGAAGACTGCCACAGATGCTGTTCATTAGGATTCTACTGTTCGGAAGACTTGGATTACTCAGTACCTTGTAAGCAGCTGTTAAGTCGCTTCATAGCCCACGGGAACTGCAAGAGTTAAGCCATGGATCTTTTAGCCCGTCCTAGCAAGGTTTCTGCTGCACTCCCACAACTCCCATTGCCGCTCTCCTCTGGAACTTTTCCATGAAGTTCGCATCTTTTTCAAGGTGTGGTGGTACAACGACGTTGCTGGCCTCTGAGTGAGGTCGCGTGTAAGTCTTGAACAGCTTCGGGAGGAGCTCAGGACTAAGAAAGCCTAGTTATCTGCGCATGCAGTCCAGTACTGCGTGCAGTTTGGAGGCACCTCCTGGATAATCGGAGTTGGTGTCTAGCTTATTGGCCAGTGTTAGTCCCAGGTTTTTCTCTGTGGTGGTGTGGGCAAGTTGTTTCACAGGGAGAGTGGGGTACGTTTTGAGGGTCAGGGTTGCAGTGAGACATGGTCCGACACTAACCTAAAGTAAGTGTCATTTCGTTACTACTCACCCACCCACCAAGAAACCTAAGATCACTTTCCAGTTTCCTTGATTCAGTTTTGGATTTCATAGCTTTCCATGACCTGAAATCGTCAGCATAGAGTAAGATTGGGGAGCTGAGGCCCAATTACGGGACATTAACAAAAAGGAGGAATAGCAGCGAACCTAGAACCGCCTCTTGTGTATGGTATAAATATCCGAAGTACTGGTCAGCAAGAATAGCCAAGAGGGATGGAATCAGTTAGACCTTTTGATTAGCACTGCTTTTAGGGAGTTGAAACTTATGAGGAAAAAACCAACTTTGAAATTTAGTGGCCGAAAATTCTCAGCGGAAGATAGTTGCTTAAGGCTGATATCAAGTTTTGGGTACTATTTTAGTGAGAAAGAAAAACATTAGGTTGACCGTTGAAATGTTCAGCTGCCAATCTCTGTCTAATATACGAGGTAGGCGAGTCCGGAGTCGGGAGAAGCGAATTATAAAAAAGTTAGTCTCAAGTGATGGATAGAATTCAAGCACGTACACTAGGTAGTCCTTAACACGCAGGGTGTATGTAGATCGGGCCATGAAACTTAATCGCGTTGTAGTAGCTTAGGCTCCTTTACGGGTATAAGATATAAGAGAACGAAGTTGAGAACCAACCACTTCTTCCTCGTGGGGTGTAGGGAAAGTAGTTTGAACCTGCTGTAGCATCTCAGCTTAGGTAAATTGGTGACCAGGCATCTGGTGAGGAGTCGCTCCCAATTTTAGTTTATCTTGTACCCGTAAGCTGCTTAAGATGAAACGATATCACTTCAGCATAAGTCGGACAAGTTTTGTTAAGCACCAGTCTGTCGTCAACGTGGATGGAATTTCCGATAAGTGACCCAGTTAGTTTACGAGCTTTGGGGACCTGGTGGTAAGTGTATTCTGAGGAATTTAGGTTTGCTGGAATACTCCAGCCCCAGGCCATATATCCACTGCAGTCGAGACAGTCCAACCCAAGCACACATGATAAGTGTACTTTTTTGAATGTTCACCAAAGGACATCCAACCGCTGCTATGATAACTGAACCGCAGCTGCCAGACTTTACGCCACATTTCATACCTGTTGAGGTCACCCAATTTAAAGGTATCCGCTGTGCTGAGAGCCCCTTTGGAAGGCTGTAAGTTACCTCAATGTCATCTACGAATGACTTTTCGTCCCCAAAGCAACCATGTATATCGCTGATACAGATCAGAAATAGTGGTTGTCCAAGGACAATGTCTTGGAAAACGCCATTGTGGATGCGCCCAAGAGAGAAAGCGATTTAGTCAAGCATCTAGCACCAAGCAAACAAGGTTAAAGGTAAATATATAATCCCAGAACATCATCAGGATTACTATTTTCATCCAGATATGAAGCTTTGTACCCAAAAACTGACACCTAACACCAGAATGGTACCCTTAACAGTGATTGCACATCCAGTGAACCTTCCGTGCAATCAGACTGTTACTATCGTGCTGGTTGTAAGCTCTTCATGCGCAAGAGCACCCATATCCCACAAGTTCTGCAGCCTCTATGTTCATACCTAGTAATAAGAGTCGCTTGAAACCGCTCACACTTCGGTAACTCAGGTAGTGAATTTCCCACGCTAAGCTGCCAATTGCCAGTGCACATTTGGCGCTCACATCTGTCTGTTGTCTCGCAAATAAGAACAAGCGAACTTCTGCGTACCATAAAGTTCAACCAAACCACTATCGTGATACTGCTTTGAGCTTACGAGGCACAACTGATCAGACAACGTTTGACACATAACGTGGTGCTTATTTCATTATCCCTCTCTAAACTTGAGGTGTTTTACCTTCAGCAAAGCATCCGACATTTATCTCGTGTAAGTGTAAGGGTATATGGCTTTGAAATTATCAGCAAACAGAGGTGATTCGCCTTTTGTGAAGCAGTTGCAAGCGAGATTCATGTGTAGAGTGGGGAGAAAGTGACGCAACACAATACCTTGACCTGCCTCACGGTTTACTGCCAAGGGTTTTGAAGTTGTTAAGTCTACTTTAACCATTTGAGTGCATATATCTCAGAAAGATTTAATCAACCCTAGACAGGTGGACAGCCCTGGAGACTGCAGCTTACCTAGTAGCAGTAGGTGTTCGGCTATCTGAAGTCTCACCTAAACGTCGAGGAGAGTAAAAGTACTGACTGTTGCCGACGCGCGTGGCAGTTATGGCGTTGTAGCGTCACGTGATCCCCTAGAATCATTAACCCAGGATTCGATGGAATTCAACATCGATGCTAACACTCCCAGTTTACCTGGACTCACCACGCTGAAGGCACCCGGTCAAGCATCCTCGCCATTCGGCACGCTGTCATGCCGCGTCGCACTGCTCGTAATCGACCCTCTAACCAGTTAGTTGGGACGCATCGGTATTTTGGTACGACCTCGCAGACATACTACCCCATTCGACTACCCTATTGTGTTCTTTCTTCGTCTCGTATCCGTGAGCATATAACGAGTACGGATGATTAGCGACTGGTCTCTGTGTTCGTCAAGTTGGCGCCAGGACAAGTCCTTAATTGATGAGCCAGTTCCATTTTGTACTTGTATATAGTTTTCATCTTGATAACATTAATATATCCATATGCAACATCTCTTCATGTCTGACCACACCCGGAAGCTTACGCGTGTTAGGCCCATGACGAACAGTATCCAGCTCGTACCACACAGGCTAAACAATGCAAAAAAATGGTTTCCGCATGCAGGGGCAGATTTTTGAGGACAAGAAGTAGCAGATCCACATTCCCGGTTTCTTGCTGTCAGACGTTCCCGATACGTTAAGGCAGTAAAAATCACGAATGATGCGGGATCTCTAACTGAGTGACCCATGTGTCTGGATGTGGGTTTTTCATCAAACCTGTCCTGAAGAATACATTCTTAATAACTCCCTCCGTAATCCTAAATGATTTGAGCACAATATCCTCTGGCCCGCAATTACCGGCTGGTAATTTTGAGGTGGGGCTATCCTTAGACGGGATAAATGACGCTTTTTCAGGCACCAGTTTAACCTTCCGAAGACAGAAAATAAGTGAGTAAGTGTCGGTAGACTATCATACCCACTTCATTTAAACCACTATGTTGGCATCAAGTCTCAGTCAGCACGTTTTGAGCGTCTAACAGTTCTACTGGTTTGGTTAGTTTTAGAATGTATGATTTTGTCAGGGTTTACTGGCATCATCGCAACAGGAGACTAGTTTTCCGTAGTCAAACCAGGCTGGTGTCACATGCTATGGGTGTAGGGTCTACATCACTTGCTACATGTATGTCTCTGATTATTTTACACATGTCTATAGGGCCGCCGTAAACCTTGTTGTGGTGAACAAGAGGGGAATCGTTTGAACTGGTGAAGTTCGACGGCTTTTAAGCAGTGCGCCTGTGTTCTAGATCAGCTAGCTGGAGCATTTCTCGCTTCGCTCTTTATAATAATAATAATATATTTCATGCAACAAAGGTTACATGAATACAAACCAGTTTACAGGTTTGATCACTTTGGTAATGAGAGATGACTATTATGTACAATGTTATGCTATACATTAGATGCTGTGATTTATGGCATATAGGAGGCATGTTGAAGCAGGCTCAGTTCGAATTTGAAGATTATCCGGTCATCGTTTGAATCATCCAATATTCTTGAAGGTGAGGCCGCATCACATCCTGACCTTGGGGTGTGCGCGTTCGTCATCAGGT